GCAGGCTGTTTGTGTACCGCAAGCACTTACATGTCTCCCAGGTACTGAGGACTGTGCAGTGCCTGGTCAGCCAGCTTCGACAGAGTCTCCAAAGAAAAATCTTTAGCTGTAGCTGCTCTCTGAAAGACTTCGTGGACCATGGTGCCATTCAGCATCTGCTTGGAGCCACCGTCAAAACTCTGCATCACAATAAACACAATGAACAGCAGAAAAGAAGCAGACCAACATTAAACTAGTGATAGACCAATTAATCGGGCCATTATTTGGCTTTTTTTAGATAATCCACATCGGATGATGTCTGCACTCACAAGTCCAATTAAAAACATTAATTACACGCAGAATTGTCAGTTTCTTTTATTACAGAGTTTAGTTTGTTGATTAGCTGTGGACAGAGACAAGGCTAATTTACCATTTTCAATTCATTGGTGTAAAATAAATGCTAATTTAAGTTAAGCAAATGTCTCATTTGTTATTATTAAACTGTTGCATTTTACCTGATGCAAAGACAAAAACAACAAAATGATATTGGCATCACATATTTCTTAAGATCAGCATCAGCCAGTGATTAACTCATACTGGTCACCTGCTACATCAGACTATAAACTAGAACAAAAAGGTAGAATTTACTGCAGGACTATTGTATTACGTTAGCAACTTTTGTATAGTTTAGATATTAAGTTGACAATACGTCATGGTTTATGGGCAGGACACTCGATTAAACATGACACACGGGTGCTAATGTAAACTAGCCACTAGTACACTCGTCTAAACTTACCATTTCTGCTGATACATAGCAAGTTCCTCAAGTGTTTGGGAACTAAAACACTAATTAGTTCTGTAGAGTCATTTTTTTGTCATGTGAAAAATAATCCAATACCAACATAAAACAGCTGTCTTAGGTTTGTACCTTGAACATATCCCCCAGTACTGCACGCCTCATGCAGCGAATGGAACTGGAGATGCTGGTACCTGAGACGAGTGTGTCAGGTAGTAAAACCAGGAGGCCCTGCTCCCTGTCCACTAACCAGGACCCGCCATCAGAGCGGCCCTCCAGATGCACAACATCACCACGAACAACAGGTGTCATCTCCCTGGAGTGATCATTTTATACACAGACACGTGTACAATGAGAAGCTATAAGCAAATATTATAGAAAAATATTTAACTAATAAACACAATTCATCAAGTTATTAAACAAGAAAGGATAGTGAGGAAACACTGCAAGTTAAATGACATTCAGTACTTATTCTGATACATAATGAAGTTAAAAAGTCTCCACAACATTCACAAACCAGGGCTGTGTCTATGCACTGGGATGAAAAGATGTATGTTAACAGCGACGACCGAGCAGGAGGGCACGCTAATCACATTACCATCCATCTTTCAGCAGACAGGTCTCAGTTGTGTGCAGAGTTTTGTCACATGAGATGACCAGTGTTTTGTGGCCAGGTCTCTCCTCCACATCCAAAACCCAGTAGCGGTTGTTCAGGCCTCCAGAAAGGACCACATGGTCTGGTACCTTACTGCGGAGATAGAGAGGACTCGTATCATTGTACATACTCACTGTGTCGTAGTCTGATGCTCAACAAGTCAAGTGTCTGACCTCATCTAAGCTACCTACCTGTTAAGTGTCTTCACTTCTCTCTAATCTTTCTCCTTCTGCTTTTGACATTTAAGCAATTTAACCAGTCTGCTTGTGTGTTTCTCACCGGTGTTTGTAGGACTTCTCCTCAGTAACAGGACCTTCATTATGATTCATCTGCTCTGCAAACCAGCTCTCTTCCCACCTCTCTTCCATAGGAAATGCTGAGCTTGCTCCTGCTGATATTTTTGCATGAAAAAGTAACAAAGAAGCTATCAGGGAATTAAACATCCAAATATAAGGACATCAATTACAGCTGTGTTTATTCCATTTAAAGTTATTGTTTTATATATTATTCTACTTATGAAACAGCTTACATTTTGATTTTTTTCCCTCTCGTCTTAAAATTCACACACTCCCTATGCAATATTGCACCCCTGAAGCAGCATGAACATTTTTAAAAATACATCTCTTTTGCATTAACTTGAGACATGTGTCTTTTGCCTTGAAATATTTTTTATTGCCCTGACCCACAGGAACAGTTAGCCTTTTGGCCGAGCCCAGTTATATTACACTGCCAGTTTAGGGAAACTCTCTGCAGATACAGCAGAAAACAGAGGTGATGTGTTCCTGCTGTGCACAGCCACTGTGCTGTGAGCACAGGTGTGGCTGCTCGGCGTGGCTGTGGTAGTGGCTGAAGTTACTGTTCCACCCACCACTAACTAACATCACAGCCAGAATCATAAAAAAGCACAGCCTAATAAGAGTGTAGAGGGTTAACTAGCTCAAGTCAACTAGCTCTGTTGGTTTTCTATGCAGCTCCAATGAACCTTCTGCTGAGCTGACTTTTCTAAAGGTACGGCGATCCATAAAAGAACTTCCTGGAGCCTAATTGAAATCTAACACATCCTGTCATCAGTTATTTTAAAGGTATAGTCCCAGTTCTGGTTGGTACGGTTGATTTAACACCTTTTTTTTGCAGTCAAAATGTATCCCTCAGTAAAATCCAGTTATTGTATAAATGATACACAATATCATGTACTGAAATCCCAACTTGATCAGTGCACCTGTATCCGATGATGTCAAGTTGTCTCCGTCTCCATCCGATGATGTCACGGCTGTTCTTGTTGCCTCATTCTCATTCAGGTCGCCCTCTCCCACCTCTGTACTGCTCTGTGGTGCAGGTGTGACAGTTTGTGCACTGGGTTCATGCACATGTGCAGTAAGAGAGAGAGCCTCCTTTTCCAGGTGAGTTTGTGGGTCTCCAGTAGTTTTTGTCTCAGTTGCCTTCTGCTCTGTTATCACAGTAAAACCATCTTTATCTCTCTCTTCCAAATGTTTTCTCTGTTCCTCCACCAAGTGGCAAGAGACAGGCTCCAGTGATGTCAATGTGTTGCTGCTGGCATGACAGACCACTTCACTACGTCGGCTGTGACCCTCCAAAACCTCAGATGGACCCCCTGACTGGTCATTGCAGAGATGAGCCGTCATCATGGGGCCAATCCCCAGACTTCTATCTTTTATGCCGCTACCTGTGGGGCCGAGCACAGTTCTTGATCTCTTGGCCTGGTGGAAATCTTCAGAAGGGCTGAAGAGTCTCTTCAAGGAGCCAAAACATCTCTCTTCCCTCTGGGCTCTTCCTCCCTCACTGGCCATCACTCTCCGTACGCTCTGCCCTTTGGAGCGGGGACTGCGGCAGATCGGAGACAAGTGGCCGAATTTGGCCAGGCTCACCACCTCCCTGTTGGGCAGGGGACTCAAACAATCTGCCTCTCTGGATCTGATCTGACTGCTGGGTGTCTCAGGCACAGAGAGGAACAGATCAGGCGAAGAAGGCAGAAGGTTTTCAATGCCCCCCAGGACACTCCTCTTTAACGGCGAGTAGAGTCTGAACTGAGACAGTTCACCATCGTTGACCTGAGTTTCACTCTTGATGATCGCTGTGCCAGGAATGGATAATGTTTTTGAAGATGACTCGTTCTAAAAGCAAGTCAATTGAAAAAGTTATATCAGTAACAAGCGCAGTAAATAGTTTATGTACAGCACATTTCTAAATCAAAGCGATGCAAAGGTGTTTTACAGCAGAATAAGAACAACAAGTTAAGGTAAAAGACCAACAAATAAACTGGAACAAGCAAGAAAATAAGGTTAAAAAACCTTTTTACAGACAAATGCATAACAGTATGTAAGACAGTAGAGTCTGTGTAATAAGTTTAAAAGAATAACGTGTTACGACGCAAATAATAAAAAACACAGAGGCACTACACACGTTAGACTTGATCACAATTGTCTAGGAAGTGTTATTCTAATAAGACAAAATATGCTGCTAAAGCTACATGTTACTGCAATTTACAGATAAATGCTACGTTTTTTTTTTACTTACCTGATTATTTTTAGTGGGTGAACAGCATCTGGCTGGCTTGACCACGGTGTGTACACTACTAGTAATTATTTAAGTTTTCATCTGTGTAAATTATCAATAAGTATTCATATTTGGACGAGACACTGACAAACCACCAAAAAATATTTACCTTGTGGTTTTGGGAGGAAAAGAAGGACGTGATGTTTCCCTGCCCTCCTACAGTCACCTGACAAAAATCACAAAAGCACAAATACACCAGCCTGTCACGTGTTTGTCATTCAACAAGACCGCGTTAGAAACGTCTGGCATTTCAGACAGAAGAAGGAATGTTGATGTGCAATCCCTTCACATCAACGTGTCGACTGCTGAGCAGGTGTGAGTGATAAATACCAGGTAACAGCAATAAATCACGTCAGTTAGACAATTCGTACTGAGCAGCTCCACTGAGGAAACACTGCTCTAAATTGTTAATGTGACCAAATACATTTGGTCAAAAGTTTCAGATCATCTCCATTTCTCCAGTTGTAATAGCATAATCCACCACCACACACTTGTGAACACACGTGTTTACTACTGAAATCAAATACAGTTGAGATAGACAGCACCGTGGCTGCACTTGTAGTTTGTTTTGCTTTTCACCTGGAAAGTCTGGACACTGTGCTGCCATTCCATCATACTTGTTCGTTTCTTCTACACAGCCTGGAGGTTTTTGGGCTCATTATCCTGCTATCGGATAAAACCCTGAGAAGGTCTGACTTTCTTTCTTAATGGCCTTTATCCAAATGATGCTTCAGAAGGTGTGGTAGGTTTTTGATAATAATTGATGAGTTGATCATCAGAAAATAATGTTTATAAGGTGATTAACTGTGTCAGTCAAGGCAAAACTTCTTTCAGCTCCTACAATGGGATGATTTGACACTTTTCTTCACCTTAAAGCTGCATTAACTCAGATTTAGCACACATTTGGATAACTGAAGTAAAGAAATTGCGTCTCCCTGATGTACTACCCTCCACCCTTACCATTCAGCATGTTATTTATATGAATGCATCAACTCTAACGTCCTGCATTTGCAGGGAAACAAACGACCTATGCTTCTTTAAACATGGCTGCACCGGATGAAAAGTCCAAACCAGTCAGTCACTCACCTTGGGTTTCTTCAGCTTGGTCCTGTTCATAGTGACTGTGATGATCTGTGTATTTATATGTACGTGTCTGCTGCTGAGTACCGGTATCTTTTAGCTAACGGGCGGGCGGTGCCACCAACAGAAGGCTAATCTCACAGGCTTCAGCCTCCGGAGCAGAGTTTATTCTGTTCATCTTTGACCGACTGTGCGTTTCCAAAATCGGGAGATTATTCACTAAACTACCTGCTTTCACCAATTTTATATCTACCGCACTGACTCTACATCTACGGCCCTCTTCATGATCATCTTCAAGCCGTCTCCATTAAGCGTTTGCAGGTTGTTTAAACGTCTGGGGCGCCAAATTTCAGCTTCGCGGAATGGAAATGACATCACGAGCAGTTCCGGTGAAAACACGTGGGTTTTTTTGGCGGATTATTATTATTCTTAAATTAACCCTATCAGTTTGTCATAAAGCAAATACTGTCCCTTTACAGGGGTACCCACACCTTTTCGCTACTTTTCAAACGACCAAGTAAAAATGATCTAGTTAAAATACTAAACATATATTTATTTATATAGGGAGTATACCTCATGTAAACACATTATATGTTGGCGCACCTTGCATAATGAACCCTAAGGAACACTACAGCTCAGTACTTTTTTGGCCATTAGTTTACTCTGATGACTTGCACTGAATGGGATGAGCCAGGGCTGCAGACAGTAGCTGCTGGTATCCAGCCTCCAGCAGACTGGGCTTGGTATTTGGACTTAATAATAATAAATGAGTAGAGCCAAATAATGCAGTCTGTGGAACATTACCTCATGTTTGGGTACTTTTTTCCTCTGTAAGTTCCAAAACGGTCCATTAGCCCTGGACTTCAGTTGAATATCAGTCTATAGTGTCAATATCTCATCCTCCAGTCCAGACCAGTTCAGGTGAAACAGCGTTGCACTTTTTGATGCGAGTGAATCAAGCTCAATATCTTCCCTAAATGGGGAGCACATACATGTAGAGACTGGCTCGAGTGAGGCAAAGTTTTGAAAGCGTTTGTCAAACTCTGACCGACAGTTGTCAATCTGCTTTGTGTAGCAACGTCAAGTTGCGCACATGCTTTCCGTTGCGTCTCCAGCTCTGATGCGAGGTTTTGGAAGTTCCGCTAAATGTTGCGTTTTTCGTTTGAAAGCATGAACTAAGCTCATTATATTGACACAAGCTCTACCGACACTACCTTTGCGATCGACGTGTTGGGTAGCCCTGCTTTAGAACAACCAAGAGGCATAGTTTATAGTATGTGCAATTTTAGAGCAAAAAATAAATAAGAAAAGAAAAATTTAATCATAAGGGGGAGAAGCTACAGGGCAGAGTTGTTCATTACACTGGAGGTCTATGGTTTAAAAAGAGTTTTCTGCTTCTGAATTGAAATGTGCTACTTGTTATGGATTTTGAGGTGCTGAATTCAAAATGAAAAATATCCGATTGGCTATAGTTTTTCAGATATTTAGCCATTTACCAATCCAAGAAATAAAAATGCCACATTTTGAAGAGAGACGAAGGGCTTATGTATACAGTAAGACTGGGGATCATCAATATGCATTACATTATGTGTCTTCGTTTCTCACTTCATAGCTACTTTTTGGGGGGGGTTACACTAAGTCACATCAAGATATGAATACAGAACAAAATTAATGAATGAATGTAAATTGAATACATACACTGATGGCTACATTAAGACTTTTTCAGCATCATTCACAGACATCAAGTGGAAAATTAATAAACAGCTTTATGAGAGCATTAGAAAGTTATTGCGCCTTCATAAATGTATGTGTTTATGTTAATATTCAGCATTTACTGACCTTATTTTATGGCAGGTTGTTCGATTCCTCTGTTCTTTATCTGTTTGTAGGAATTCTCCTGCTCAGGATTCAGTTCTGGCTGTAAATCCCTCACTATCTGTACCTAATGTGCACACCGAAAGGCAGTTGAACAGTAACCACAGCTTTCTGTGAGAACAGGCACAATACACCCATCTGTAGTCTTTAGAAAAGGTGGTGCACTTTAGGGCTGTCTCAGTCCCCTTTTACATAGGCAAGCCTGTTTACACATTAGATTAGATTAGATTCAACTTGACTTTTGTCATTACGCATGTACAAGAACAAGGCAACGAAATGGTTTAGCATCTAACCAGAAGTGCAATGACTGTGTTTCCAAACATGACAAATGCATCATAAAATTTGCAGATAACACTACAGCAATTGGTCTATAAAACGTACCACATGGTGCCATGTTTACAACCTCTTTCTAAAGGTCAACAAGACAAAAGAAATCATTGTTTACTTTAGAAAGGACGCAGACAATCGCACTCCTCTTCCCATCTTGGCATACGCATCTCAGACGCCTTCACATGGTCTCTCACCAACTGCATCAACAAAAAAGCACAGCATAGATTGTACTTTCTAAGGTTTTGGTAAGGGCACCACAGCTGTTTTATCAGACGGTATAGATTTTTTACTGTAGTACGCTCCTGAATGAGTTAATGATGGTTGTGTGGAGACAGCCAGAGCACAAGAATTTCATTGTACTTTTTAACACATGACAAACTGAAACATGTTTGATAACACTTTATAACAATGGTACAAATCACATACTCATATCATATAGATGTATGATGAGTTCCTGTTAGTGTTCTATGTGAACAGACATTAGTTTATACCTAATAAATAATCAACTGAAGAATTTTAATTCACATTTACTTCATATGTTCTTTGATATGCCACCAAATGAGATAAATCCATTACACAAAGGTTCATATTAGCCCCATGCACTGAAGAAGCAGCTCTCTAATCAGAACAGTACCATAACCTGACCATCTGCTAATGCTGAGTAACAGGAACTTCATTGAACAAATCAGTGTATCACCTGCTGACAGTATTTTATTTCTACAGTACAAATGTATACAGCAACAACTTGAAGAGATGATGTTTGTTTCATTTAATCTAAAAAGTGAGAAATTGTTTTGGTTCATGCGAGTCCAGTGTAACACAGATAAATGGAGATAATGAAATTATCTTGAGTTCAGGAGTGCGACCTGACCTGAGTTATGCCCCTTTCATCCATTTGCCAACATATTTAAACCCATGACCCCCCCGCCCACGCCCCTTTATTTCCTTAAATTTCTTTTTCCCCTTATACTCTATCCCTGCTGGGGGTCTGCCACTGCCCCCAGAGTGGTGCAGACCTCCATAACCTTTTCCCCAAAACCGTCAAGTGCACAAGCATCTCAAGTCACAAGCATTCCACATCTTTTATTCATCCATCGTGAGGGACAGGTCCATGGTAGTGAAATTATTTCATGTGCGCACAAAGCCGGCCACTACGTTAGCTCTACCTGGAAAATGATCAAATAAACACAACAAAGTAGGCAGAATCATTTCATGAGGCCTCTTCTGTGTGAGTCTTCGTATGAATGATTAAATGGGAGCGTCGAACGAACCGTTTCCCACAAGCAGTGCAGCTGTAGGGCCTCTCCCCTGAATGAGTCTTCATGTGGCGTTTTAGATTGGACTGTGCGCTGAATTTCTTACTGCATACAGTGCAGCTGTACGGTTTCTCGCCAGTGTGAATCACTGTGTGCTTGAGAAGATCTGCTTTCTCTCTGAAACCTTTACCACAGTCGGCACAGCTGTGAGGCTTCTCTCCCGTGTGGATTCGTATGTGAGCGTTCATGTTTCCAACTTGCGTGAATCCTCTGCCACAGAAACTACATGTGTATGGTTTCTGTCCAGAGTGCGAGTTCATGTGAGTCTGCAGATAGGAACGCTGGATGAAGCTTTTACCACAGACACTGCAGCTGTAGGGTTTTTCTCCTGTGTGTGTCTTCATGTGGCGAGTCAGGATTGATTTAATCCTGAAGTTCTTGTTGCAAACGCTGCAGGTGTGCGGTCTGTCTGCCGTCTCACCAGCTTGCCATGGTTTCTTCCTGTTTACACCTGAGTGAACACTTCCACTGTCTCTCCATTCATCATCACTACCTTCGCTGGTTGGCTCTGATGAACTATGGCCTTCTTTATCAAGTTCATCTTTCACCTGCTCAAATGAGCTGCTGGGCAAAGGAACTTCTTTACTGTCAGCTTTCTTGTTTTGATGTGGTGAATGTCTTCCATCTTCATTTCTCTGCACATAAATTATATTGAACATAGTGTCTTTATCCTCAGCCTCCTCCTCCTGCGTTTCATCTTCCTGAGCAGACCACTGTTCCTCCTCCTCTTTAATCTGTGGGGGCTCCTGCTCCTCATTGCCCAGGTCAGCCTTCTTCTCACAGCGCTCCTGCTCCTCCTGAACAGAGACCTGCAGGGGAGCTGGACACATGGGAAAAGAAATGTATGCGTTAGTTTTTATCAAACACAATACATTATATATTATACTTTAATGAACAAATACAGTGTATGCTAGTTGGCTACAACTATATTAAGTCTGGATGATCAAAGAGTAACAATTTGATATGGGGAGATCTACAGTATATTAGACTAACATGCACTTGCATAAGTTGTAATGTGACACTGTGAAACCAAATAAAGAGGAAATATTTTGATCACCAGGTCTTTTGTCACCTAAACATAATCAAACACAATAATTTGAAAAAAAAAAAAAAAGAATTTAAATTGAACCTGCAAATGTGCAAAAAAGATCCGTAGGAGCCTGAACAAGGGGATAGCAGATAAGCTGAGGTCTGCCTTTCCCCAACTCAACACCTTTTACACTGTGTGAGTCTAACATTAGTGACATGGCATGAAAAAAGGATTTACAAGCTTATTAATATGACATATTGTTCACTGTTTATTATTAATGGACAGGAGGGTAGCACAGGAAAATATTGTGTAGTACTAAATCATACCAAATGGTTTTTTTTTCAGTGTTCTGCTACATTTGTTAGTGCAGAAGAAGAGAGGAGATGAAAAAGCTGTGGCATCCACCTCCTGGTGTCATGTGAGCATAGCTGAATGAAAGAGATTCATACAGTCCTATGGACTGTATACTGTATGTCAGGAACATGGATGGGTTACTGAACAGGTCTACTGGGCAAAGATCCTCTATCAAAACCAATGAAATGACCACAAAGACACAAAACAAACACAAATAAACATAAAACCACAAAAATACACTCAAAAAAAAGAAAAAAAACTACAAAGAGAAACAAAACAACCACAAAAACTCAAAAAGCTAGAGTGAAACATGAAATGACCACAATGTGATATAAAACCTACAGACACAAATCAGCTACAGATGAGTAGGGGTCCTATGAGGAGGGCATGTCTGTGCCCTGGGGCCCAGAGGCTCATGATCTGCCTGTAGTCTGTGTAGTTTTTTCACTAGGTTGTAAGAAAACAACTTTGTGACAGCCATTTTGCATCCCCTCCCGCTACGTTCAAGGACGCAAAATGGCGCTACTTGATGTAATCTGTGTATAGGACTGAGTATTAGGAGTGACCCAAAAGACAGAAGTCTGTAATACATCTTAGCAAACACTAAGGGTGACCCCGTAACCAGCCTCTGTGATGTTTTACGGTTAAAGTTCATCTGTGTCCCTTACCGTTCAACCCGGTCCGCCTTCGTTTCTGCTCCACCTCCTGCTTTGAACGAAAAACTTCCTCCTCATAGTCTCTAATAGTTTGTTCAAACAGGCTAAATATTTCCTCGGCAGCTGCCTTCAGTCGCTCATTGATCAAAGCTTTCAGTTGCTCCGTTTTCATCTTGTTCGCGGCAGACGGACACAGCAGCTCCAGCGTGAGAGGGGCTCACAAACGGGTTTCCAGATATCGCGAGAAAACAGGCAATCTCGTTAAATAAATCCCAAAGCTGTTTGTAAAAGACACAGGTTGTGTGGATATTCATTCTGCAGTTCAGGCCTATCACTAACATTTTAGAAGATTTAAACAGAAACAAATTCAGGACTGTTTTATTTTGAAAAGCTGCATATCTGCCTAATGCCTGCCTCCTGCTTTGATGAGAATAAACTTGATTTGCTGTTTGCAGTTGCTGACCAGGAGATGGCAGCAGATATTCTGGTTAAAAAATAGAGACTTGTGTAGTTTAGAGCCTGCCTTTAACCACTTGACTGCCTTTATATCATAATGGCTGCTGCACTTTCATTTGGCTCATTAAAATGCCAGAGCCTTTATCATTATGAGTGACATTTGCTTCAGAGCGGTGATATGTATCAGATTTATCAGAATCAATGGTGCAAAAAGGATCGGTTAAGTGACTTTTTTTTTTTGCTTTTTTTGTTTCAAATTTCATTGCTTACATTCTTTAACAATGCTAATTCTTATCTTTAAGACTCTACGCAAACCTGACAATACAGAAAGGGTCATCAAATTGTTCTCTATGAATAATTAGCGTCTTTCTTATGAATTATCAATAATAATCTAACTGAAAATATGATTCACTTTTGTAAATATTTTCTTTCACAAATCCATCATTTAAATTATTCAAAATATTTTATGGATACATTATTATGGCTTGATTATTTTGAATTAATGAATTTTATTCTACTTTATGTATGCATTTTTAAACTAATTTTTGCTTCCTATGTATTCCACGTTGAGAGCCGATGTACCAGAGTCAAATTCCTTGTGTGTCCGACACACCTGGCCAATAAAGCTGATTCTGATTCCTTTATGTCCCCATCAGGCTTCTGAAAAATGTCAAGAAATGCCATTTATGGCATTGTTAGCTCAGACATGTTAAGACAGTAAAATACCAGTTATGGGCCCAGAGATGTGACAGGCCAGAGAGCTGGTCACCCATCACGTAAATGTTACATGACCACATGACAGATGCATCTATACCAACTCACTCTGCACAGACCCCACACCTCTATCTAGCTACTCTGAAATTATTCTATGCTGATTTGCATCCCCAGCAGCAGGTGAAATGGAAAGTGGAAAAAGAGCAAGAGTAAATTAATCTTTAACAGTGAATATGTTCACTGGTGGCACTGTTATGATTAGGTCTGGTGTGTGCACTCTGATATATATCCTGTGTTTACAGTGGACTGTGAACTGGTCTATTATAACCACAGTTTCTAGCCTAAGAAGATATGTCAGTGTTGCATCATCATTTTCTATTAGCCAATATCTGCAACTGTTTGAACAGGTTCTTGGATATAAACTACAGTTACCAGAAGAAAACTGTTTGCACTGGCTCTCCCTACAGGTCCAGCTGTCAGTCAGCACTCTCAGTGCAGCAGGGGTTTTGCCGCGTTCACGGTTCTTTACCAATTTATTGTACTACTGTTAACACAACAAAAGAAACATTAGTTTCATATTAAACATATTAAATTTCAAGTGCTTAGTCTTTCTTACCTGCACTTGAGAGAATCCTTGAGAAAACATTCTATTTTTTCTTTTTAATTTGGGTTCAGTTTAGGAGTTTTATTCATATTGTGCTCCCTCAATTATTATCCCTCTAACAGCAGCTGACATGCTCCTGAAAATGTGATTCACCATGGTAATGTCCTCCTAGACAGCCATCTTTTGTTCTCACTTATTGTACCACAAAAAATTTCCCAGACTGAAAAGTTCAATAAAACCACTCAGATTTATATATATATATTTTTGCATTCCTTTTATTTTGATCATGCTGCTCTTCAGTGTCACACATTTCTTCTCTGGAATCAATAACCAACTAATATTTCCCAATTCTATATCACATAATCTAGTCTGTTGTTGTATAGATGATGTACTGTGTTCAGAGTGAAACAGTGAGAAATAATTTATTCAATGCCACTTGATTTTTGAGTGGGCTTGAGATGGTCACTACTGAAAGAGAACATTAATCACAGATGTTTGCGAGACAGCACCAGAAAGATCTCAAAATGATTAAGTAAAACACATTTTTGGAAGAAACAGTGTGCTCAGTCTTAGTTTAATGTAGCAGAAAGTTGCAGGTGGAAGGTAATTGCACTTCCTGTTACTACAAACCTGACAAAGAGTCACTCCAGAAAAAAACACAAGTAGAACCCATTTTCTACCACCTCAGGCCTGTCACATCATCAACTTAATGACACCTGATATTTATTAGCTGCTTTTTGGTCAACCTACTCCCACTGATGATTTTAAAGTAAAACTAAAAGCTAAAAATAACATTTCCAACAACAGCAGATCTCCTCATTTCCAAATCTTTATTATTCATTTCACAGGTTTTAACTCCAAGACACTATGCAATGGAGAGTCATTTATAGTACATACATATCATATAATACTCAACTAGCTTGCCAGTTATAGAAGTGGATGGGCTCAAATGACTCAGCTGGGAACACTGAGAACAACTTGGCAAAAACAGTGGAACAAAATAATGGTGCTAATATGGACGAGAAAGAAACACTAATGAACAGATTGTTGTTTGTTTTTGCCAGATGACACAAATTAACCCAATTATTGCCCAATTAGTGGACATAGATCTGGAGGAATCCCCACGGTCTGCTGTATTTGTATGGCTCTAATGACAGCACACACTACAGATAATTAGGTCTTGTTTAATTTTGGGGTATTTCAATGTAATTAATGACTGTAGTGCAAAGTAATATAACAGGGAGAGAAAGGAGTATGGTTTGACCTCATTTATCTTTTTATAGCTGGATTGAACCCTACACTCTGTGGTAGATGTAAGGATTATTCCCAGAGGGATCAGTTGTACTTTGATCTAATACAGAGTTTGAGTTTTAGGCAACAAGTGCTGTGCATAGGAAACTGGTGTTTAGAAATTTTTATATGAATGTATGTTTTAGGTACAGAGGGATGATAGGATGAGTTTATACCACATGCCTGCTGTAAATCTCCATGATACATATGCTGAGAAGCTACAGCCCCATGTTTCATTTTGTCTACAGGCCCTGGAAGTTTTCCTCCTCAACACAACTTCTTACAAAGGTCACAGAGAATGAAAGAAAGAAAAGACAAAGAGGCTCTTTGGTTGGTTTGTTAGCGGCACACATTAAACAAAGCACCCAAACACCTGACTAAAGTGACCTTTTGTTCTCTTTCAACATATTAATCATCCATCTTTTTAATATGCATGCTCATGTGTTGCTCAATTGATGGAGTTTAACTACTTTAAATCCACACTTGTCATCTTCGGTATACACCCAAAAATTTTTCATTTTCTCTTTTTGAATGTTTATTTTGTTTTCGTATAAATAGAGAATAATTACAAGAATATCTGTAGTAGTACCGAAAGTAGCGATAATTTAAATTGAGTTATTCTTGTTGATTCTTGACTATGGAAATACTACTACTACCTAAAACAATTGCTTTTAGGTAGAAGTAATTTGTCAAAAAAAAATCTCAGTGTAAATAAGAAGATGTTAAAAGCTCCAGGACAACATTTGTGAACATTTGGATAGCATATTAATTTTTGTTGTTTTTTGCAGAAATATATAGTATTAGGATCTTAATGGGGGCGACTGTGGTTCAGTGGATAGAGCAGGTGTCTCCTGACCAGAGGTTTGAATCTCGGTGCCTGCAGTCCAGGTGTCGAAGTGAACCCCCAAGTTGCCCCCGATGGTTAGAGCCATTGGTGGAATTGGCGCTGCAGATGGCTGCCTCGGTTCTGTACCAGAAACAAATTCCTTGTGCGTAACATGGCCAAATAAAGGTGATTATTATTATTGTGATTGATTAATGGATGCCCCACCAAACAAAATGATTTTAACAGCAATTCTTCTCCATTTATTTTTAATACAAATTTCTTACTGTTACCATTACTACCTTGATGAATGTCAGATGAGCCGGAATCATTAAATGTAAATGTCATCCAGAAAATGTTGATATGGCTAAAAAAAAGAAGACAAAATGTCAGACCAATTCTGAGTTTATAAATATCACGTTTTCAGTCTGTTCTGCCTGATAATGTCACTTACTGTTACACAAGCTGAGGCGGTGCTAGTGTAGTGCTGATTAGTCAAAGTCAGAACAGGGCAACAGTTTATAAACAGGATGGTTAAACCTCTATATGTAATTGTTAATCTTTTTGTTTTTATTTGTAGACTTGTCATAAATGACAAAATAAAACCTACACACAACTCTACCTGAATCACAGCACATACTGTATTACATAAGGCAGCTAGTGTGTTACTGTATATGTGATTGTGGCTACACTTATCTCCTTTCCTCAGGTCCCTGGGCTTATATCTGTTTTCTATAAACTTATTTTGTCTCCTGATTCTGCTGTTTTGGTCTGATCCACAAGCCACTGGGAGGAGGAACTTGGGTTAGAGTTAGCAGATGGCAGGTGTGAGGTTGCATGGCTCATGTTAATCCAGTTCAAGACAGGATTCATGTGACTAAGGCCAAAATATCCTGAGTTTTTCCTGCTAGGAGTGACAGAAGCTCAAAGTGCACAGCCAATCACACACACATTGTTTTCCTGACTCAAGCTTGTACGCTACTGGTCACACTTTTTTGGCACAATGTGTCAGGCTCTAAATATTTCCATAGAATCATGCTATTTCTGTGTTTAACTCTGAGCTCTTGGTTCTTGTGACCACAAAAACTGATGCTGGTAACATTATTTTACAGGTTGGTAAATTCCAGTTTATTTCCAAATACATAAAATGAAAATAGGAACAAAAAGACAAACCAAAAGATCTGAAACAAAAATCTCACAGTTACAGTGCAGAAAGTACAGCATAGAAACCAGTCAAAGTAAATATAGAAGTAAAAACAGAGCGATGCATTGGTACACTTCTAGTTATTTCCAAATGCTAAGCTAGCACAAACACAAGGCTTTCATTCAGAGAACAGAAGGTGAACTACACATGCAAAGTGTGAAATTTGCCTATAAGCAACTTCGCAGTTTAGTATAAATGAAGAATAACATTTCAAATAACAAATAAATG